GGAGACAGAATCGTGCACATTCTAGCTTTATCAGGGTTAAATAAGATGACTCACATGGTCGCCATAAAGGGTGCCATGAAATTGACTCTGCCTCCCCTTAGTTTGTATGTTGTCTTTTCTAGTTGGATGGCTGAAAGGAGTCCACTTGTATTGTTGATATTTGGCTCTGTTGACTAATGAGTTTGCCGACCACTGGTCTAAACAATTAAAAAAGAAAACAGGCTTTACAACATTATTGGAATTATTATCTAAAGATAGTGAAAACCTTTGGCCTGAAGAGGGAAAAAATGTCCTTTTTAAACTATATTAAATATTAAGCAATATAAAGCAGTTAAATATTCAGCAATTCTTTTTAAAATATCCATCAACCTTTCCATATAAATGTTTTTTGGTACTTCTGCTGAGTAACTAAGCCAAGTGTGTTGCTTCATGTTTTTGTGAAATAGTCATATTTTGTGTCCATAGTAATTGTTCCTAAGTCATAATTTGGGTCTATGTGATATGAATATCTTATGTGCGCATGTTGCTATCTTTCGTGATGATCTAAATCGCTTAGGTCACACGGTACAATGAAAAGAGCACTGAACCAAGAGTTAGGAGTCTTGGCTTCTTGTCTGAGCGGCGAACTAGCTGCTGAAGTTGGACAAGAACAATGAGCTGAAAAACAAAGAGGCGGACAAGGTGACCTTTAAGTTCTTTTCAGCTCTAGACATCATTTATTATCCCAACCGCAATCATTGAAACAAAAATTAAATACATGAGAATTCATAAAGTCTCAGGCTTACAGAATTCAAAAGCCACAATTCATTCATACAATTACTGCCATCAAAGTTCTGCTTTTTTTGTTGTTGGTGTTAATCTTCAATCGAGGATATTTTTCCATTGACTTTTAGAGAGTGGAAGGGAGGGGGAGAGACAGACAGAAACATTGATTTGAGAGAGACACATCCATTGGTTGCCTCTTGCACATGCCCCGACCAGGGCCAGGGATGGAGCCTGCAACCAAGGTGCATGCCCTTGACTGGAACTGAACCTGGGACCCTTCAGTCCTCAGCCCAAGGCCCTATCCACTTCGCCTCATCGGCAAGAGCAAAGTTCTCCATTTTTTTTAAGTTCTAGCCACAGAAATGGTCCTTACCTCAATTCAAGAACAATTTACTTTCGCAAAAGCAAATGATAGGAACAAGAAAGACCCTTTCTGAAATGTTTGCCAGGTCTTTAAAAACTGTCCTCATTCAATGTGAGACATGGTCATTCTTGGAAAAATAAGTGGACAAGAACAATAAGCTGAAAAACAAAGAGGTGGACAAGAACCAAAGTGACCTCTCCATAAGCAATCAAATTACTTCAGCATAAAAAATTAAATCAGTATTCTAGCTATAACAAATAAAAATAAAAGCATGATTATCAATGTCCGTTGGCTAATTTTGTATATGCAGTGAACATAAAGTAGCCTTACATTTGGTTGTGTTTTAATCTGCATTTGTAAGCCATTGCAACATACACGTGCATACACAAAACCTACATCTGGATAACTCAGTGAAATCCAGGACATCTGAAGCCAGCCTGTATTTTTCCAGAAGTACTGGCCCACATCTACTCCTGGGTTTTCCTGCCTTATTGTGTCCACTCATCAATATAGGAGAGAGGCATGAAAATAAAAACACATATTTGTATTCAGCACTCCAACAAAAACTGTCGGATTGCTACATAGAAGATTCCTACACTGACAGGGACAAGAGTAAATGAAGCCAGAGGTCCCTTCTATATGTAAGAGCCTATGGCACTCTGTCTATACTAGTAAACTTTTTAGTCCAAAATCTGAAAAGTGGGTATTTCAGGTTGTGATAGATTATACAAATGGCCCAAATTTTCCAACCTTTGCCACATAAATCTGAAGCCCCCTCTCACACAGACTGAGAACTCAGCCACTTGTCCTATTTTGGCCCATTGCATATCACCAAATAATGTAATCAATGGCTTGATTGAAATGGGCTTGTGATTCGGGGCTTGCTCTCCTGCTGCCTCTGCCATTATCACGGGAACATGCCTGGACTAGCCTGTTGGATGAGAGGTATAAGTAGCCAAACCGAGCCATCCCAGCCGCTCTGGCCGAACCAGCCAGCTGACTTCAGACATGTGAGCGAGCCCAGCCAAGCTCAGCAGCCCCCTAGCTGATCCCCTGACTTGTGAATAATATCCCTACTGTTGTACACCATTGAGGTTTTGAGGTGAGGCTCTGTTATGCAGTGAAAGCTAACCGCTATACAGGTTTTTACTCCTAAGCAGGTACTTTCCCTGACTCAGAAAAACAGGACTCATGATTCTCAACCTATTATTCATAGCTTAGCCCTTATTGTGTACTTTCACTCTTGCTCATTCATTCTGTTAGTTCATGCCACATCTGGTATTGACTGCCTATTTATTCCACGCAGGCACTGATCTAAGGGCTTGCAGTACATCACTGAACAAAGTGTGGGAGCATGTTTTATTTGTGTGTAAACTCCCATCTGGAGCTTACAGACATCAAACTATAAACATAATCTAAAAATTAGCGATACAATGTTTTAGAAGGTGGAAATGCAATAGAAAAATAAAGAAGTAGAGAAGGGTTGAGAGATTGAGAGTGCAGTGGGATGCATGGATGAAATAAATTGCACTATTAAAAGGGGTTGTCAGAGGAAGGCTCATTGGTAGGCATCCTAACAGATTAAAATAATGTCTTCATGTAAGTAAATCAGGCACTCTAACAAACCCTTAGGGCACTTCAATGAATTTATTCAGCCTTGCCATTAAGTTGGGGGTAGGTATGTGGTTTTTTCTTTTATCTGAAACTAAAGATTTGATGTCATGGGTAGAGATTCAATTTTTTTTATTGATGTTTAGAAAAAAATTAAATTCTGTTTTTATTGTGTTTTTTTTTAAATATATTTTATTGATTTTTTACAGAGAGGAAGGGAGAGAGCCAGAGAGCCAGAAACATCGATGAGAGAGAAACATCGATCAGCTGCCTCCTGCACATCCCCCACTGGGGATGTGCCCGCAACCAAGGTACATGCCCTTGACCGGAATCGAACCCGGGACCCCTCAGTCCACAGGCCGACGCTCTATCCACTGAGCCAAACTGGTTTCGGCAATTCTGTGTTTAAGCTGCCCAGATGATAGACCAAGTGGACTAAAATGGTAGTAAACTAAAACAGATAGATATTTTACAGATATAAATATACATGTACAATTATATGTATAGACACACAGACTGGCTTTGTGCAGTTAAATTATCTAGAGTCCTATTTAAAAACAGTGGGAAGACTTTTATTATGTCTTTGCATATTAAAATTTTTGTTAAATTAAAAATGAGTATTCATAATTTATACTTATGCAGCCAGACTGTATCAGGGTATTAATTGGGAAAAACGTACTTTTTATGAAGTGGGGTCAATGTATGGGTACCCTAAAAGAAAAATGTTTTGGACATATTCACACATTAATTATTTCAGCTTTCAGAGAGAATAGACCAGACTGGGCTTAATCTACCTATAGCACCAAAGAATATTCAACCTGGACCCCACTGTTTCAAATTAAACTTTTTATGAGTAGCTGTTACATTCCTGTCACTTATCAAGTTACCTTAAAAAGCTTATTTGTGAGTTTAATTAAGCCTGACTAATTCTCCAGCCATACAAAGAAAGATGAATTCCTTAAGTGTTTAATCCATTTATGACTCAAAGTATCATTTTCTTAATGAGGCTGTTAAATTCTTGGGATTAATTACCCTTTAAATTCAAGCTGCTTTCTCAGACATTCAAGACATCAAGTCACACCTCACACAAGACGTGACTTCAACATTCCATCTGTCCCTCAGGAGAACTGATTCCAAATGCTGTATTCACAACCTCAACCTGGCAGGTTACTGACAATGGAACTCAAGAATCTTTGGTGGTAAGTTTCATAACAATCAGGCACACTTTCTTCCTGATTTCCAAACTTGGTTTTTGTTCTCCTTCCTCCTTTATACAAGTATTAATGAGCTAAAGGTTAGCTGCCCTCTATCTGCATAGTCACTATTCTTTTTCATTGCAGCTTTGTTATCCTTAACTCATCCCAAGACTTGTCTCATTCAGAAAGCTTCCCCGCCCCCACAATTGTGGTCAGCAGGGAGCCCATCTCCATCCACCACCCTTGGTATCATCCTGAAACACTAAATGCACCTATGACTTTATTTTAATTACAAACTTCCTATCTGTTCTTTCCTTGTATTTTGAAGGCTATGCAAGACTAGAAGCATTGTTCTTCAAGACTAGATTCCCCAAATGCAAGGTCAATCAGCACTGGATTCCTGTAAAAATAAAAACACTGGAAGAGTGGAGACAGGAGGGGACAGAAAACCACATATACACAGCACCCACAGCCACAAAGACACACGCACACAGGTGCAGATCCTGAGGTCAGTGTTTGGTCAGTGCTCAGTACTCATTTCAAGGCTCCCAACTCTGAATGACTCAACTCCTAAAGGAAAAAGCTGCCTTTTGATTGAAATTCAAATTCCCTAACACATGTTAAGATTATAAATTAGCTATTTAGCTTTCACATTTACAAGTCTCAGTTTATGAAAGTTTATTCTCCAATATAATTTTCTAGCATTAGTGATATAAACAGTATGGGAAGAATCTTTCTAGAATAACTCCCTGAGCAATCTTTCTTTCCTTCTACCACGAACTCCCATACACGTTTCTTTAAAATATTAATTATTTACATTTAAACTATAAAACGCAAAATGGTTTTATAAAACACAGCATTTCCAGTTCCAATTGTTTCCTATTTTTTAAATAAAATGTATTATAGAAATACTTCTGTTGCAAAGAAAAATAAGAATAGGAAAAAAAAACGTATTAAAAGAGAAAACACTAAACTCCCATGGTTACTGGAATAGAAAGAGCCAGCACCGAGTAGCAAACACAGACATCCATTGGGAGTGGGCACCGTGTGTCGAAGGTACCTACCACCTTTCATCATGCCCACTTCATAGCACTTGCGTAGTCGGCAGGCCTGACAGCTCTTCCTCCTGTTTTTATCAATTGTGCATTGGTTGGTAGCCGGACACATGTAGTCATTATGTCCTATTAAAAGCAAGAGGACAGAATTAATATTTTTTCCAAGAAACGTAGCCAGTCATAATATACAAGTGAAACTGTCTGGAGGATGTTTTCATATCACTTGCTTGGCCTTACTATGTTGTTACCTCAGTCCATCATCCTTTTTCAGTCCCTTTGTAAATGCAAAAAATTCCCCAAAAACCTCCTAGACTTAATTTCTGCCTCAGCCAAGTGCTTTAGGAGTTCTTTGGGCAAATCACCCTCAGTTCACGCTGGAGGCTCAGACCAGCAGGTCATAATTATGCAAGAAGTCCTTCAGAAGGCTGGTGGACCTTGGGCTCTTAGCAAGGGCTAAAAGCTATGCACTGATTGTTCTGTCGAGACAATGGGGGCTGAAGGCAATCCCCTAAACCAGTGGTTCTCAACCTTCCTAATGCCGTGACCCTTTAATACAGTTCCTCATGTTGTGGTGACCCCCAACCATAAAATTATTTTCGTTGCTACTTCATAACTGTAATTTTGCTACTGTTATGAATCGTAATGTAAATATCTGATATGCAGGATGTATTTAGGCGACCCCTGTGAAAGGGTCATTTGACCCCCAAAGGGGTTGCGACCCATAGGTTGAAAACCGCTGCCCTAAACTGATAATCTTTTACTGTTTACCAAACTTTACCTTTGATATGTCTGTTTGCTTTGCTAAAGGGCAAATGTGTATTCCAGTAAATAAAAAGCTGATGGGTCCAGAGATTCAGTGAGCCACGCCACTAGAGGGTGAGATCTCCGCCTGGCTTTCCCCCATGCCTTCTAAATTTATATTTCTCGTCTAGTATATCCATTTATGCGCAGCCCCTTCTCCAGATTCTGAACCCTTGCTGCAAAAGACTGTGGCAAGTTCACACAGCTTATATTTGGGGGCATGATGTTTTACATACACTCACAAGGTTAGATAGTCTCAGCAGATAAAGCCTTTTTTTTTCTGACCAGGCCCACTAGATAAAATTATTATCAAAATAAAACTTAGAACTTTCAGAGAGTTTCAAAGTGGAATTTTAAACACAATAAAAACTGTGTTTAAAGAATCTTTAAGCAGGTATTCAAATATAGCCTGGACACCTAAATTCAAATTGGGGTGGTGAGCTGGGTGTCGGCAAAGTTCAGTCTTTCAGTTAGTAAGTTAGTTCATCACTTACTAGTTACTAATAAGTCAGTAACCATGTCCACGGCTTAATTGGGGTGGTGAGCTGGGTGTCGGCAAAGTTCAGTCCTTCAGTTGGTAAGTTAGTCCATCACTTACTAGTAGGAGGACACTGAACAAGTCAGTAACCATGTCCAGGGCTCCTTTTCCCTCTCTTTAACCTACAGAAAACCCACTACATAACATTATTCTAAGAATTCAATGTGAGAATACATGTGAAGAGCTTACCACAGTGTCCCAGATATGGTGAGAACTCAATAAATACTATTTTTGTTATTACTATTACTTTATTATTAATCCTCTTTCTTTTCTCTCTTGGTTTTTGAATCTCTCTTGCTCAAATGCTTTTTTCATTGGCTTTTATCACATGCAAGTCTGTCCCACAAAAAGGTCTCCCTCGATCCCACATCACTACCGAACTTCCATCTTATATTCTGCTCCTCATTGGCAGTTCAAATCCTCAGAGATGTCTACACTCCAGGAATCCTGTTTCCTCCCCTCTCCTGCACAGCTCAACCCATGCCAATCTGTTTTCTACCTTAGTTGCCCACAAAAGCAGCTTCTCTGATATCACCAATGACTGTCATTGCTTAATTAAAAAGGTATTTTCAGTCAGCATTATACTTGATCAGAAGCATCAAATGGTTCCTCCCTTCCTCCTGAAACATGCTTTTTTCTTTTCCTTTGGCTTCCATCACAAAAAAAAACCCAAAACTCTTTTAGAGTTCCTCCACCCCTCAGGCTGTGGCTTCCCCATGTTGTTTGCAGATTCACCACCCAACATGAAGCCAGACTTGCACAAGGCTCAGTGTCAGGCCCTCTTCTCCTTTTACTACTTAATATTCTCCCCATGAAATAATCGATTCTACACCTATGGTGTCCACTGTCATTAAAGGCAGATGACTCACAAGCATATACTCCCAGTCCGCCCTCTTTTTGGAGCTCTGGGTGCATTATCTAATTGCCTACATGAAGTTTCTGTTCCAAAATTTAGAAATCACCTCTATTTCTTTATCTATCAAAATGGAGCTATGTACAACTGTTCCAAAATTTAGAAATCACCTCTATTTCTTTATCCATCAAAAAAATATCTGGTGTATAGCATGCAGAATATTAAACTTCACTAATGACTAAACACTGGCATGTTTTTACAAAGAAGTCCATTTATGTAAGTCTAAATCCTTATACCCCTGGGGGACATATCCTGAATTTAGACTGAGCAGATGATAGGTTACTATTTTTAAATGTGTTTCCCATTCGAAAGAAAAGGAGGGGATATATATTCCAGCCTCTAATTGAGTCTTTCCTTAAGTCTCTATTTTCCCATTTACAAAGGCAACATGTAGTGTAATGTTTGAACCACAGAACTCTTTGTTCTTTATTCAGCATAAGGGTCCGACCCAATTAGAATAGAGTGGAGTGGGGACTTTACAAGAAGTGTTTGTCTCATAAAACTTGGTTCTCCATCTTTACATATATGATAAAAGCCATTGTATAAACAGGCACCTGATCAAATTAACATCTCATTCTTCAAATGCGTACTAGGAACCAGCCAACTACAGCAGGGTTATACACTTGTAACTTTAGTAAGAGACCACACACTGCCTCAAATATCCAGGCATTTGATTGTCCTTATCAAGAGGGCCAAATTAAGGAAATAATAGAACCAGAAACAAATTTAACTGGGCAGATGTAAACTCTAAGCAGAAAGTGTATTCTTCTGACACCTCAAGGAAACTTAGTGTTTGGTCTCTGATGGTGTTGTATGCATTACATGTTGATTTACATAAACTCTAAGAAAATGAATTTATATTAAGCTTCAGAAGAAAATAGTCAATAATCATTTGAACCAAAAATTACTTTGATTCACTCTCTCTCCGAAAGCTAGCTGTTTTGCAAGCCAGAAGAAGGGAGAACTAAATTAGGTCCAAGGCCAGCTGACTATAGAACCACATGGAATTCCCAAACTAACATAAATCTCTGGATTTGTGCAACTAAATTCACACCTTAACAAAATGAACAACAGAATCATGTTCCTAATATAAACCTTTTGTGACAAAGCTAAGTTTTCTCCTGCCTGGACCACAATAAAATTTAGAATTTATAAATTGGCAACAAGAAAAATTAATAGCTACATATTTGACATATACCATTAAAACAAAGTCTTCTTACTCAAACACCATTAACAACTACTTGTAAGTCTTCAACTTACATCAGAAGAAGGAAAACAACAAACATCCGTTTCCTAAAGAACATAACTTGGTAAAGGTATGTTATTAAAGCGATTGACTTAAGTGGGTTCAATAAGAAACTTCTTTTTAAATTTTATTATTTGGTTTCGTGAAAACAATGCATGAGAAAATCCTTCAATTGAAGTGAAGTTCATTTTTTAAAAAACAACTCACAGCAATGGTATTAATGAAACATACAGCGTTTTTACTGAAGAGACTGAAGAACTCTGGGTGCCTGTGACCAGGTTGGCCCCAAAGTTTCTTTTGCAGAGGCCTGGATGAAGCATAAAAGCTGGGAATCCAGATGTGAGGTTCAGGTGAAGTTTTGGAGATATAATCACTATTTTCTCACCCACCAAAAATTAAATATAGAAAGCCTTTGGGCCAATGGAGGGCTTGAATAATAGGAAGTGGAGAGCAAAGAGAGTGAAACATGCAGGAAGCTTGAAAGGTAGGGAGAGAAGACTTCTGGGAGCAGAAATTAGCAGGTAACCCACAGCTCCTGGGGCAACCGCTCTTTCCCAAGCTTCCTTGGGATTCTTTCTCTTGACTTTATGTCCCTTCTTTTCTTCTTACTTTTCCTCTTTCTGTGGCAGTTGTTTTTGCATTGTTATCATCCCAGAGAAAGTCTACATTTGTTAGTTACAAAAATAAGCAATGACCCATATTCAGAGATTCAAAAGAAATATGAAAACAGAAAATTAAAACAAATAACCATGTGGAGAAAAGGGAACCTTTGTGCACTGCTCGTGGGGATGTCATCTGATGCCACAACCCTTATTTTTAAAATGAGCTCAATAAAGGTAGGCATAGTACTCTGGGGGGTTGAAGAGGAATGCATCAAAATAAAGGAGACTTTCATGAGATTAGACCAAAAGCCAAGTATGAAAACTAGTAAAAGGTTCTGCACCATCTATACTAATAAAAGGGTAATATGCTAATTAGACCGGGTAGACAGGACATCATCCGGAAAGCCACGGTGGCAGGGACCAAGGTAGAGGCAGTTAGGGGTGATAAGGCCGGCAGGGGAGGGCAGTTGGGGGCAACCAGGCCAGCAGGGGAGTGGTTAGGGGGCAATCAGGCTGGCAGGCAGAGGTGGTTAGGGTGATCAGGCAGGCAGGCAAGCAAGCAAGCGGTTAGGAGCCAGCGGTCCCAGATTGTGAGAGGGATGTCTGACGAAATCGGGCCTAAACAAGCAGTTGAACATCCCCTGAGGGGTCCCAGATTGGAGAAGGTGCAGGCCGGGCTGAGGGACACCACCACCCTCCCCGCCCCCTACGAATTTCATGCACTGGGCCTCTAGTTAGGGAATAAACACTTACCATTTCTTAAAGCATATATGAGCACATAGCTAACTGTTCAGATTTGTAAGGCATGGAAATGAAAATGAATTCTCAAATTAAAGATAAATTAACTCTCCAATGTTTAAGCACCCACAAATCAAATAAAAGCCAATTTTACCTAATCTATCTAAAAGCTTCATTGGAAGTTCCCAACAAAAATATTTTATTTTCAGAGTCCTATTCTTTTATACCTGCTTGGCTACTTTTACAGTCTCTTATTAAAGATTCTCATTGCATATTTGCATAAAATTA